CCACTCTACAGCCCCTAAACCATAAACCCTAAACCCGAAACCCTAAACCCTAAACCCTAAACCCTGTTACGCTGCAGGTTCGTAAAATTCTGGTGGCACCTCAGTGTCAGCTCTCCCCAGCAGTACTGGGACTTTTTTGCGACTTGGCCCCGTCTTTGGCTTCGAAGTTGGGCTCAGGGTTGAGGGGTTTAGGGTTTACAGAGGGGCTTAGGGTTTAGGGTTTAGGGTTTAGGGTTTAGGGGTTAGGGGTTAGGGGTTAGGGTTTAGGCTTTGACATTTTAAGGGTTTAGGGTTTTTTGGGTTTAGAGCTTAGGGATTCGGATTCCGGGCTTAGGGTTGAGGGATTAGGGTGCTTCGAAGGTGGGGTCCGACCTTGAAGCTGCCACAAATGTCGCAGGCCTTGCAAAAGCTAAAGCCCTCTAAAGGCACAGTGAGGCCCCCCCCCCCGCCCCCCCAAAACGAAACAGTCCCACACCCAAACCCTGCACCACCCAACACTTGTAATTTTTGTTTACGTGGTTTAGGAATTTACATTGAGACGTTCCCCCTTTTACTAGCAGTCCTGAATAGGGCTTAAAATAGGGGGTATTATCATCCCTGTTCAGGACTGTTAGTATAATACGCCCTAACCCGTTTCGTTTTGTGGGTTAGGGGTTTGGGGTTAATTCACCGGCCTTGGGAGGGTTTAGGGATGTTTAAGGCCGCTGGTGTTGAGGATTTAGGGGTTTAGGGTTTTATGATTTATGGTTTTAGGGTTTTAGGGTTTAGGGTTTTGGGTTTTGGGTTTTGGGTTTTGGGTTTGGTAGTTTCAGGGTTTGGCTTCAAGGAGAGCGAGCCATCCGCCATGTCTTCCCTGGTCCTCATCCGCTGGACGATTCTGGCCACGAACTTCCTACAGATCGAGCAGGAGGGGGATACCAAAGTGGGCTCACTTTCAGGTGGTGTTGGGTTTAGGGTTTAGGGCTTTAGGGTGTAAGGTTTAGGTTTTGGGGCTTATAGGGTTTAGGGTTTGGGGTTTAGGGTTTAGGGTTTAGGGTTTAGGGTTTAGGGCTTGGGGTTTAGGGTTTAGGGTTTAGGGTTACATTCTCTTGGGCGGTGAGTAGCAAGCTCTAGACTCCATCAACCCACGGCAACCCTTCAGCACACCCCCTGTGTCCTATAGTGTTTTTAGGGTTTTTTGGGTTTGGGGTTTATGGTTTAGGGTTTGGGGGGGTTTAGGGTTTTAGGGTTTCAGGGGTTTAGGGTTTGGGGTTCAGCCTTGGAACCCCAAACCCCCTATAAACCCTACAACCCTGAAACCCTACACCCTACACCGTACACCCTAAACCCCAATGATGCACTAGGGTTGCGCTGCAGCTTCACGGTCCAGGATTTGCGGTTCAGGGCTCAGGTTCGGAGTTTCTGTTGCAGGGGTTGCGGGTTTAGGGTTAGGGTTTTGGGGTTTAGGGGTTAGGGTTTAGGGTTTAGGGTTAGGTTTAGTATGCAGAGTTCAGGGTGTCGCCCTTCAGCGGTCAAACGGAGGCTCCCAAACAGCTTTCCCTGTCCTAAAGCCCCGAACCTCCGGAGCCTTGAAAATCCGCAGGCGCCAGGTGGTTGTCAAAAGCCTCTATTCTACAAAAGACATGAAAACCCTAAACCCTAAACCCTCAACCCTAAGCCCTAAACCCTAAGCCCTAAACCCTGAACCCACCGGAAACCCTTTCAAGACCTCTAGTTGCCGTGCAAGCCATAGCGTTACGTTCCAGCCTCGTCGCCTGATGCCCGCACGAGGTCGGACGCAACATGGCACCCCAGCTGGATTGTTCAGGACATCCAGGTTAAGTAGGGTTTAGAGTTTAGGGTTTAGGGTTTAGGGTTTAGGGTTTAGGGTTTAGAGTTCCGGCTTGGGGTTCGGGGGGGGGGGGGGATAGGGTTTACGTTTTAGGGTTCAGGGTCTAGGGTGTAGGGTTTAGGGTGCAGGGTGTGTGTCAGTGCGCATGCGTGCGGGGAGTGCGCCTTTTCTTTAGATTGAGGGGCGCGCTCCCTCTCGCGCGCTTGCATAGCGTAGTAGCCCCACCCCGCACCCCCTGACCATTCTCTTTCAGGGTTTAGTGTAGGCTTCTACCCTAAACCCTAAACCCTAAACCTTAAACCCTAAACCCTAAACCCTAAAGGGAGATTCGGTAGGTACGCTACGTAGTAAAACGTGGCGCAAAGGCCCAGGCCTGTAGGTCCGCCCCGTGCGCAAAGAGCAGAGCCCTGTCCGAGAGGCTCGGGCACCCATGTACTCGTAGGGCGGCGGTGCTCTCGCCAGTTTAGGGTTTAGGGTTTAGGGTTTAGGGTTTAGGGTTTAGGGTTTAGGGTTTAGGGTTTAGGGTTTATAGGGTTTAGGGCTGTTGTAAAGTTGGGTTTGTGAACCTTAGGTGCTGATCCATGTCTTGGGTGTGGACAGTAAGGTGCCGGTTGTGATTGCCGTTTGCCGGCCAGCATCCATCTTCTTCTTGCTTCTTGCCTGCCAAGAGCGGATAAGATTCCACCCTAAACCCTGAACCCTAAACCCTAAACCCTAAACCCTAAACCCTAAACCCTAAACCCTAAACCCAGCAGTTCTTATGCTGGCAGTGGTCTTGCTAGGATTACTTCGACTACGACTCAAAACCCCGCCACCTCTTCGTGCTGTCACTGATGCCGGCATGTGGCGGTGCAAGTGGTCCTTCTTCGCTTTGCCTCCGTAATCCTTCATCCCCTACACCCTAAACCCTTAACCGGGCTTGGGGTTTAGGGGCATCAGTCGATGACTTGCTACGATTCAGATGAGCTGCAGGGACCCACGAAGTGCACCTTGTACTGGGCCTAACACTAAAGAAGATGATATTTCGGAGCATGTATTAGAAGGTTGCAAGGGATTATCCCCGGGAAAAGGTCGTCTTGGGGGGGTAGTTCAAGGTGAATTCCACTATCTTTTGTCAAGGAACTTGGCTTACCAGAACCAGGAAGCCACATCATGTATATAATTACTCCTAAACCCTAAACCCTAAACCCTAATCCCCGTCAGCCTCCAAATCCCCTATCCCGTACTGGGGGGGTTCCCAGAAATCTTTTGGAGGGTCCCTTTAAGGCGCTTCTGTTCTACTTGGGATATAGAAGGGGTACCTCTCTTTTGGACAATAGCCTTAAACCTGCATGACTCAAGGCTTTTTCTCGGCTTCATGATCTGTGGCGCCTTCCATGCCTACTACGTCTTCCCCATCGAGGACCGGCAATGCGACATGGAACCCGTTCTTGCCCAGCCGGTTCCGAACCTCCTATGTAATCTGTACGATTGTAGCAAAGCACTTGTCCGCAAGAATTGATGGAACCTCCGGGGCATTTCCCAAAGAGAAGGTTGAGAGTTAAGGGTGTAAGCTTTGGAGTGTAGGGTTTACCAGCTTCCATACACGCATGCATAGCACAAGACTGCCTAGCGGTCACATACGATTGTGACTGAGGATGCTTAGCATATTGACAGACGCTTGTCACATACGCATTAACATACACACACACCAGACAAACACACTGTTGGATGGTTCACAAAGATCCAAAATCCCACATGGCTCATGCATGATTCATGATTGGTACGATGACGTACATATTCGGGCCTTCCAGCTGTTCAGGGAAGAGCTGACAGCATAGGTGGTGTCGGGGATTTGGACAACGTGGAAAGATTGCAGCGCCATCTACCCTAAACCCTAATTCTAAACCCTAAACCGTTTTGGCAACCATGCAAATTTTAGGGTATAAGCGGACTTGAACAGGCCTGGATTGAATAAACCCAAAGAGCCCCATACCCCTTAAACAAGGACTATTCCGTAAATCTGATTAAGGATCCCGGGTTAAGTTATTTCCCTTAGTTGGGGTATTGGGCTCTCTGCGAACATGAAGAGTTGCACAGCTCTTCGGGCCAGCAAAATTTCGCAGAAGAATGACGGCTGCACAACACACTGTGCGACAAAGCAGGGCTGGGACGGTCTGTTCACCCTGTTCAGGGCTTAGAGGTTTTTAATGGTTTGAAGGGGCTCCAGGATTTTTGGGGTTTAGGGTTCTAGAGTAGTGACATGCAGTGACAGTGAAGGTGCTTGTGTGACTATGGGAATGGAGGAGCTCAAATGGCATCAGAGGTTTAGGTTTTGGGGTTTATAGGGTTTAGGGTTTGGGTTTAGGGGTTAGGGGTCAGGGGTCAGGGGTCAGGGGTCAGGGTTTAGGGTTTAGGGTTTAGGGTTTAGGGTTTAGGCGGGTTTTCTGGGTTAGGGGTTTAGGGTTTAGGGTTGGCAGGCTGTGATGGTGTCACAAAGGGTACTACCAGGATGGAACTCGGCATACCGGCACTACTATTGCATGGGGGTTTGAATAACAAGCGCTGGGGAGGTATTGAACGCGAGATTTTGGGTTCAGGAACTGCTAAAGTGGCCCAGGGTTTAGAGGGAGTTTAGGGTTTATAGGATTTAGGATTGAGGGTTTAGGGAGTTTAGGGTCTAGGGAGCACAGAAATCCTGATACGGGGGAATCTGGGGACCACAGGAGAACGTGAGCCACGGGGGATCTTTTGCCGACAACGCGAACCACGTGCTGAACACATTTCTGAAGATCTTCCGCTTGGCTGCACCTGGGTCCTTCTACAGTCAGTCTCTGGAGGGTTCGGGCTTAGGTGTTTGGTGTTCAGGGATTTATGATGTTGAGGGTTTTGGCCTCCTGCGGACTTGTTTTTGTTCGTATAACTCTCCACGGAATTTTACGGGTAATGTTCTAATTGTGGCTCTACACCGAGTGCCCTTATGGAGCCTTAGCCCTCAGTCCCTCAGTCCCTTAGCCCACAAACTCTCCCAGCATGCGTCATCCCAAGTCGATGGCAGCAATGCAGTATCATCCATGGTCGTCTTCTGGCCCAGGTGTCCTTTGCAGGACGCGTAGGCTCAGAGCTGGCAGGACCTAGGACAGCAGTGATGGCACGGGTCGAGTGTCGCTTTACCTTCCTTGACGTGCTCATGGAGGATGAAGCACGGGGCCAAGACCTCCGTGAGGGCCGAGCTCACAGTGCCCTTCCAAGTCTTTGCCTCGAATCGCCTTGCGTCGTGGGTCAAGTGGTGCATCCAGCAGTGCCCACGGCGGCAGTTCCGGCGGATCCGGCGGTTCCGGCAGTGCCAGCAGCTGCGATGTCTTCGGGTCCGCAGGCTCAGAACGAAGCGCAGCAGGCGCCGGGAATTCCAGAGTGCCCGGTGCCCGTCAGTGCAGGGAGCTTGGGGCATCCGGAGCTTTGCCAGCGCCCGTGCGTGCACGTCGCGGGCGGGAGGCAGTGTGAGGCGGGTGAGACGTGCAACTATTGCCATCGTCCTCACCGCCATGTCTCGATGCTGGATGTGCGACAGCGTCGCATCTTCGACAAGATGCCCAAGGCCGAGTTTCTCCGCTTGGCCCTCCAGTTGCTGGAGGACAGGGCCCGCACCGTGGAGCTTCGTGGCACGGAGGTCTTCGCCATCTTCGGGATCTTAGAAGATGAGATGCGCGCGGAGATTTCTCAGACTCCGCGTGGGCCGCCGCAGGCGCTGATGCGCAACCTGCGTGCGGCGAACTTCAGCACCTTGGTGAGCTTGGCTGTTCCTTAGTAACTGAGTGAGCACACTTTACACTTTTTGGGATACTATAATCCCCTATAGAACTGAAAGTGTACAGTTTTGGGGGCTTATGAATGCGTGTGTCTCACCCGAACGGATTCAGAAACTCATGCATCGTCTTCGATGTTGTGGTATCCGTATAGTCTTGGGTGCAATAACAAGAAAGTTCCATCTTCACCATTATCTTCACCATTCTCAGGGACGATGCAGGCCTTGCCGCACCTCGTTCTGAGGCGCGATCACCGCAGTGCTGTCAGGCTATCAGACATGCCACTTCTGCATTTTTTTGTGCAGGGACTGGGACTAGTCGCAATCGTCAGAGGAGCTTGTCAGACCAGTGTGCATTCTGTGCGCATGTTCATGCTTCTTTTCAGCTAACCCGGTGGTTCAAACTCACATTGGTCGACCCAGAGTAGTGCTTTCCGGACACGCAAAACAGAGCTGCGTGTGCCTCATCAGAACGGATTCATGCATCGCCTTCGATGTTATGGTATCCGAGCTGACTTTTTAATCAGCAAGCTGCGAGGGCGAGTGGTCCAAATATCGCGTTACTTCGCCTTTGTCTCGTGCCCGCAGACTGCAGGATCTCGATGGCAGGGTCCATTTTCGAAAGGCAACAGCCGTATCAACAATCGAGATTTAGGGTTTTAGGGTTTTGGGTGCAATGTCTGACGAAGGTCGATAACAAGAAAGTTCAATCTTCATCATTCTCAGAGGGTCGATGCAGGCTTTGCGGGCGCCTCGTTCTTAGGCGCCAGGTGGTGAAGTTGAGACGTTTTGCTTCTCAGTCACAGGCCGATACAAGTGCAGGAGCTGGAACAGGACGCAGCGTCGCAATCGTCAGAGGAGCTTCTTTACTGACATTGGTCGGCCCAGAAGTGCTTTTTTGGAGACGCAAGCCACAAGATTGAACTCGGAGTGCCTCACATGAATTGCCTTCGATGGTTGTGTGGTATTCGAGTCGAGTGAAAAGACGCAAGCAGAGTCGAGCGAAAAGACCTCCATCTAGCCCTGGTCACTGGTTCATTTTGGATGGTTGGTTTGTCTTGCGCCGCCGTCAGAAGTAGGAGCTCTTGACGCCCCGTGTCTGCTTGGAAGATGTCTACAGCCCTAGAGACCCCCAAGCCCTAGAAGCAACTCAACCGTAGGGTTCCGTCCGAAACCCTAAACCCTAAACCCTAAACCGTATATACGCTATACCCTATAAACCGTAAACCCTAAACCCTGTCAATCTCAAACCCTAAACCCTAAAGCCTGTAAACCCTAAACCCTAAACCCTAAACCCTAAACCCTAAACCCTAAACCCTAAACCCTAAACCCCCCGAAGCCCCTCAACCAGTTGTGGCCCCAGGTGTTGGGTGATTTCGACCTCAGTGAGCTGGAAGGCTTGAGTGACAAGATCTCCGCAAAGATGGACCGGCTTCGGGTTTGTTTTAGGGTTCAGGGTACAGGGTTCAGGGTTTAGGGTTTAGGGTTTAGTGTTTAGGGTTTAGGGTTTAGGGTTTAGGGCTTAATGTTGAACCCTGTATGGCCCCCCCCCCCCTCCCGAACAGTCGAGGCGTGGATTTTGCCCTGTTTAGACGGCCCTCCGGGGGTTTATATGAATTTGTAATAGGGATGAGTTGATATAAATTTTCAAGGGATCCATATGAATTTAAAAGGGATGAGCTTATCTGAACTTAAACGGGATCCATGTGAATTTTAAAGGGATGAGTTTATGTGAATTCGAAAGGGATCCATATGAATTTAAAAGGGATGAGTTTATATATGAATTCCAAAGGGATCCATATGAATTTAACAGGGATGAGTTTATATGAATTTAAAGGAGTCCATCTGAATTTCAAAGGGATGAGTTTATATGAATGTAAAAGGGATCCATATGATTCTTGTGAAATCCAGTCAGGACATTCAAGCGGGTCCCGAAACAGTGCCTCTTATTCGAGGTTGGGCTGGCTCCTGGACCACCCCTTTGCCGGATTGATCAAGACAATTTGTCTATATGGTTTTTTCAGAGGAATTCTTGGTTTCGGCTTTGTTGTGATTCCGGGTTTTTGGGGTCTTGGAAAAGAGGCCTGCCTTTAAGATTCAAAAGCCCGGCCTTTTAGGTTTAAAGCTTGCTTCAAAACAAGCCCCTTTTTTTTAACAAGCCCCAGATCCTTAAAAACAAAGGCCGGATTTCGGGAACCGTTTGGGGACTCCCAAACAGTCAGGATGCCCTGAATAACTCAGCCAAAATGACTTTATAGGCGAGGCCCCTGCTTAACAGGGTCCAACATTACAGTAGGGTTTAGGGTTTAGGGTTTAGGGTTTAGGGTTTAGGGTTTAGGGTTTAGGGTTTAGGGTTTAGGGTTTAGGGTTTAGGGTTTAGGGGCGCTTGAGGACGTTTATGGCTCTGCAATTGAAGGCCCAAGTATATACTATATGAATAGATGGACCCTTTGGGTTGCCTAAAAGGGGCAAGAAATTCCAGGCAGGGGCCTCTGAGAGATCTATGTTTCAGGCACGTGCAGGACACACGGGTTTTGGTAGCCAGCCGTTTTCTTTGCGCTAAAGAACACAGAGAATGATGTCTCTTGAGGCTTTACAAGGGACTTGGGCTCAAAAACCGCCAAGCAGCAGACCTGCTGGCAGGAAACTTTAGGGTTTAGGGTTTAGGGTTTAGGGCCTATAGGTTTTAGGGTTTAGGGTTTAGGCTCTACACATGCGTAGGGTTTTGTCTTCTTGCCCCAAGCCACGAGTTGATTCCTATGTACCCTTGGCCTTGGTGAGCAGCAGCATGCTGCTTTTGGCCGCTGCAAGCAGGACCCCGCTACGCACATGATCAAGGGCGAAGTGGATGTCGACTCCTCCGACTGGGCCAAGAAGTATCACAGGAGCCGTTGCATCCCGAGTTCGCTGACTGTTCAATCCCTAAACCCTAAACCCTAAACCCTAGCCCCGAAACCCTTAAACTTTCCAAAGGACCCCGGTATCCTGCCCTACACACTTTTCAGGCGCCCCTGAAGAAAAGAAGCATTGCAGGACCATCCGCTACGAGTTCGTGGTACTAAGCTTGGTCATAACCGCGACTTCGCCAAGTAAGTGTTTGAGAGGCCCCTAAAGCCTAAACCCTAAACCCTAAACCCGAAACAGGGTTGGGGGTCTAGGCTTTGAGGTTTACACGAACTCGAGCCTCGTGCATGAGGATGTGGGGGTTTACGCAAATAGGGGACCCTTAAAATAGACCCCCAAACCCTAAACCTTAAACCCTAAACCCTAAACCCGAAACCCTAAACCCTACACCCTAAACCCGCCATATGGGCTACCCTAATTTCGGAAACCCCCATGTCAGCTTTGATTTGCGAAAACATAGGCGAGGGGTTCTTCGAATCATCTGTTGTAACAAGCTCCAAGCCCTCAACCGGTAGCACGTGAGGATGGTTGCAGTTTAGGGTTTAGGGTTTAGGGTTTAGGGTTTAGGGTTTAGGGTTTAGGGTTTAGGGTTTAGGGTTTAGGTTTTAGGGTTTAGGGTTTAGGGTTTCGGGCTTTCAAAGCTTGTAAGGTGGTCGTCATGAACGTCTACGTGGGGCTCCTTGGGGAGCTCTACCAGAAGCCCGACCATGTTTCGCGCGCAGGTTTTGGGGTTCGTTTCAGCGACTTTAATTTTTTCATGAGCCGAAACCCTACACCCTAAACCCTAAACCCTACGCCCCCCCCCCCCCCCCCAAAGAAAGACCAAAACTGAGTGATCTGCCGACGCAAAACCTTTAGAGTTTAGGGGTTCTACAAACCTTAGACCCTCGACCCTAGATCCTAACCCGTAAAACCTATGGACCCCAACCCCAAAACCGCAAACCCGATAGACCCTAAACCCTATAGACTCTAAACCCTATACTGCAAACCCGATAGACCCTAAATCCTATAGACCCTAAACCGCAGACCCCCCATAGACCCTAAGACCCTGTTGACCCTCAACCCTATGGCGCCGAGGAAGGCTGAGAGGCGCTGTCGGCAGCTCTACAACAACTACCGAGCCAGCTGCGCCTATCGCTGCCTGTTGTGCACAGGGGAGGGGTTAGGGTTTTGGGGTTTAGGGTCTATAGGGTTTAAGGTGTAGGGTATATTTTCCAAGGGGTTCAGGGCTGGGGTTTCAGTTCAGGGTTTAGGGTTTAGGTTTTGAGGGGCTTGGGGGGGGGGGGGAAGGGGTTGAGATTTCGTAATCTGCTTCTGAATCACAGACAGAGGTCACATGTGCGAGCGATACGCGTTCCGATGGCTTCTCTTCAGCCGGTGTTGCAGAAGCACCTTGGCCGGCTGTGTCAGATTCTTGAGAAGATGTTCTACCCTCGATGTAGAGGCCTGTTGCCCTAAACGCTAAACCCTAAACCCTAAACCCTAAACCCCAAACCCCAAACCCCAAACCCTAAACCCTAAACCCTAAACCCTAAACCCTAAACCCTAAACCCTAAACCCTAACCCCCCCCCCCCCCCACAGGGAACACTCCACCTCATGGTCGACCAAGGCCAGCAGGAGGACGCGGACTCCCTGGGCCTCTACTGGCTGAGCTACAGCAAGACGAAGCTACATGACACCGAGGACGACGATGACTACTGACCCGCGCTTTTGTTTAATGAATCCCTAAACCCTGCAGGGTTTAGGGTTTAGGGTTTAGGGTTTAGGGTTTAGGGTTTTGGGCTTAGGGTTTAGGGTTTAGGGTTTAGGGCTTAGGGCAGCTTAGGGTTTAGGGTTCAGGGTTTAGCCCTAGGCACGAAGCCTTAAATCCCAAGCCCGTAGCTCTTTTCAAACCTTCATGCGCAGCGTGCCGGGGCAGCAAAGCCCTACCCCACAGCACGCAGGCATCGTTTGCAGAGAGGCTCGCGCCGTTTAACAGCGCCCCCAAACCCCTACAACCTACACCCCTAAACCCCTAGGCCCCTCGGCCCCTAAGCCCCTAAACCCCCAAGCCCTAAACAACTGAACCCCTAAACCCCGAAACCAACCCCAGCAAGCCCATTGCCTACTCTGCAGATAAGATGGGCCCTCAGACCCCTCTCGAAATCGCCGTCAGGCGCAGAAGCCTTTGAACCGAAAGGGGCAGCCTTGGAGGGAATGGAAAGTTCGGGACTCTGCACCTGAGTTTAGGCTTTAGCGTTTTGGGTTTGGTTGCACCTGGCTAAGTGTCGGCCTTCCTGCGCCTATGATCCGACATCACACGCTTTCACTACTGGAGTGCTGCCTTCCTTGTGCTGGGCTAGCCTAAATTTTGTCAGGGATGGATCGCTCGCACAGGCTTCATGCAAGCTGCAGGCATGGAGTAGTTGTTAGGGCTGCAACTCGTCCCCAACCCCCCCCCAAACCCCCTGAACCCCCCCCCCCCCAGCCCCCTGAACCGCCTAACCCTAAACCCTAAACCCTAAACCCTAAACCCTAAACCCTAAGCCTCAAGACTCTAAAGCCCGGAACATGCTTCATGGGTGCCCCCATGACATGCTCTCCGCAACATATCTGGGCTTCGAGGCACCGGCTATTTTGTTTAGGGTTCAGGGTTCAGGGGGTTCAGGGTTCAGGGTTTAGGGTTTGGGGTTTGGGGTTTGGGGTTTAAGAGGCTTTGCACTTTGCACTAGGGAACAGCCCCTGCGTGCACGCGCCGGCGCCACTGGAGGCCGATTGTTTCGCGAAGCTTCAGGAACCCAAGGGCGGAGGTTGAGGGTTTAGGGTTTAGGGCTTATAGGGTATAGGGTATAGGGTTTAGGGTTTAGGGTTTAGGGTTTAGGGTTTAGGGCTTTTAAACTCTCCCGGAACCCATCCTCGCTTGACTCGAAGGCATGGAGGGGCAAAGCACTTCCTAAGCTCGAAGCTAGAAAGGGTTTAGGGGTTTGGGGGTTTGGGGGTTTAGGGTTTCGGGGTTTACGGGTTTAGGGTTGAGGGGTTTACAATCACTAGGCACGCAGCTCCTAGCTTGGAGCAGTAGCCTCCCCAAAGCCCCGGCATTGCAGGCAGCGCTCCAAATGGTCTTTGGCGCAAGCGCGGCAGATGCTCAGCGGCTCGGTTTCGATTAGGGTTGGGGGTTTCGGGTTAAGGGTTTAGGGTGTGGGGTTTACGTGTTTAGGGCTTGGGCGGCCGGCTTCCGTGGGGATCCGAATCACTAGAAATGAGAAGGTTGCCTTGGGCAAGGGTTTCGGGATGTTCCTAGGCTTAAACTCGACTGTTTAGAGTTTAGGGTTTAGGGTTTAGGGTTTAGGGTTTAGGGTTGAGGGTTGAGGGTTGAGGGTTGAGGGTTGAGGGTAAACACATGACTTTGAGTTGTACTCGGTTGTATTCAGGGGCCCCGGACAATCCTCTGGGCTTTGAGAACTCGCTCCTGGACCCTCAAAACCTAAACGTGAACCCCTGCTAAGTTTTATGGAAAGCTCCAAGCCCAAAGCCCTAATGTCCAAACCCTCAAACCCTAAACCCTGAACCCTGAACCCTGAAACCCTGAAACCCTGAAACCCTGAAACCCTGAAACCCTGAAACCCTGAAACCCTGAAACCCTGAAACCCTGAAACCCTGAAACCCTAAACCACCCGGGCTCCCACGCCAAGTCATCCACATGCTCGCCCACCGTCAACTCGCCGGTTTTGGGGGCTTAGGGTTTGGGTTTAGGCTTTAGGGTTTAGGGCTTAGGGCTTAGGGTTTAGGGTTCAGGGTTTACGGTTTAGGGTCCGGAGTTGTGGGCGAGAGTTTTGACCGAAAATGTTGAGCGAGTTTTGTTGTTGGCTTTGGAGTTTTGTGTCCGGAGGGGGAGGCTCAGAGCTGGCAGGACCTAGGACAGCAGTGATGGCGCGGGTCGAGTGTCGCTTTACCTTCCTTGACGTGCTCATGGAGGATGAAGCACGGGGCCAAGACCTCCGTGAGGGCCGAGCTCACAGTGCCCCCCACTTCTTCGCCTTGAATCGCCTGGCGTGGGTCGCGTGCGCTTGGCGGAGGCCGCTGTGGGGAGCTACCTGCACTCGCTGCCGGTGGCCGAGGGTCAAGTGGTACATCCCACGGCAGCGGCAGCGGCAGTGCCGGTTCCGGTGGTTCCGGCGGATCCGGTGGTTCCGGCAGTGCCAGCAGCTGCGATGTCTTCGGGTCCGCAGGCTCAGAACGAAGCGCAGCAGGCGCCGGGAATTCCAGAGTGCCCGGTGCCCGTCAGTGCAGGGAGCTTGGGGCATCCGGAGCTTTGCCAGCGCCCGTGCGTGCACGTCGCGGGCGGGAGGCAGTGTGAGGCGGGTGAGACGTGCAACTATTGCCATCGTCCTCACCGCCATGTCTCGATGCTGGATGTGCGACAGCGTCGCATCTTCGACAAGATGCCCAAGGCCGAGTTTCTCCGCTTGGCCCTCCAGTTGCTGGAGGACAGGGCCCGCACCGTGGAGCTTCGTGGCACGGAGGTCTTCGCCATCTTCGGGATCTTAGAAGATGAGATGCGCGCGGAGATTTCTCAGACTCCGCGTGGGCCGCCGCAGGCGCTGATGCGCAACCTGCGTGCGGCGAACTTCAGCACCTTGGTGAGCTTGGCTGTGCCTTAGTAACTGAGTGAGCACACTTTACACTTTTTGGGATACTATAATCCCCTATAGAACTGAAAGTGTACACGTTTTTGGGGCTTATGAACTCAGCAACTAAGGTACGGAAGTGCACGGAGGACGCCAAGATCCGTATCCGGGGGGCGATGCAGGCCTTGCGGGCACAGGCCTCTGGGGCGCAAGCTAGCGCAAGCTAGACGTTGGAAGCGGCTATCATGTCAGAGATCAGGGACTTCCACCCCTGGAAACATGCCAGAGCAGAGCTTATTGACCGCCTTTTTGAGACTCTCCTACCTCGCGTCAGACATGCCACTTCTCGGCACAGGCTAATACGTGTGAAAAAAGCCTTTCCGGACGCGCAAGACCGACGTGTGTCTCACCCGAACGGATTCAGAAACTCATGCATCGTCTTCGATGTTGTTGTATCCGTATAGTGTTGGGTGTCTGACGAATTCGAAGAAGGTCGATAACAAAAAAATCAATCTTTACCATTGTCTTCACAGTTCTCAGGGGCTGCCAGGCTGTCAGACATGCCACTTCTCAGTCACAGGCTAATACATGTGCAAAAAAAGCCTTTCCGGACGCGCAAGACAGAATGCGTGTGTCTCACCCGAACGGATTCAGAAACTCATGCATCGTCTTCCATGTTGTGGTATCCGTATAGTCTTGGGTGCAATAACAAGAAAGTTCCATCTTCACCATTATCTTCACCATTCTCAGGGACGATGCAGGCTTTGCCGCACCTCGTTCTGAGGCGCGATCACCGCAGTGCTGTCAGGCTATCAGACATGCCACTTCTGCAAACATATGTGCAGGAGCTGGGACTAGTCGCAATCGTCAGAGGAGCTTGTCAGACCAGTGTGCATTCTGTGCGCATGTTCATGCTTCTTTTCAGCTGACCCGGTGGTTCAAACTCAGATTGGTCGACCCAGAGTAGTGCTTTCCGGACACGCAAAACATAGCTGCGTGTGCCTCATCAGAACGGATTCATGCATCGCCTTCGATGTTATGGTGTCCGAGCTGACTTTTTAATCAGCAAGCTGCGAGGGCGAGTGGTCCAACTATCGCGTTACTTCGCCTTTGTCCCGTGCCTGCAGACTGCAGGATCTCGATGGCAGGGTCCTTTTTCGAAAGGCAACAGCCGTATCAACAATCGAGATTTAGGGTTTTAGGGTTTTGGGTGCAATGTCTGACGAAGGTCGATAACAAGAAAGTTCAATCTTCATCATTCTCAGAGGGTCGATGCAGGCTTTGCGGGCGCCTCGTTCTTAGGCGCAAGGTAGTGAAGTTGAGACGTTTTGCTTGTGAGTCACAGGCCGATACAAGTGCAGGAGCTGGAACAGGACGCAGCGTCGCAATCGTCAGAGGAGCTTCTTAGACCAGTGTGCTCCAATTCTGTGCGCATGTTCATGCTTCTGTTCATCAAATACTGACATTGGTCGGCCAAGAGTAGTGCTTTTTTGGAGACGCAAGCCACAAGATTGAACTCGGAGTGCCTCACATGAATCGCCTTCGATGGTTGTGTGGTATTCGAGTCGAGTGAAAAGACGCAAGCAGAGTGGCGCGAAAAGATCTCCATCTAGCCCTGGTTCATTTTGGATGGTTGGTTTGTCTTGCGCCGCCCTCAGAAGTAGGAGCTCTTGACGCCCCGTGTCTGCTTGGAAGATGTCTACAGCCCTAGAGACCCCCAAGCCCTAGAAGCAACTCAACCATAGGGTTCCGTCCGAAACCCTAAACCCTAAACCCTAAACCCTAAACCGTATACGCTATACCCTATAAACCGTAAACCCTAAACCCTGTCAACCTCAAACCCTAAACCCCTCGAAGCCCCTCAACCAGTTGTGGCCCCAGGTGTTGGGTGATTTCGACCTCAGTGAGCTGGAAGGCTTGAGTGACAAGATCTCCGCAAAGATGGACCGGCTTCGGGTTTGTTTTAGGGTTTCGGGTTTCGGGTTTAGGGTTTAGGGTTTAGGGTTCAGGGTTTAGGGTTTAGGGTTTAGGGTTTAGGGTCTAGGGTTTAGGGTTTAGGGTTTAGGGTTTAGGGTTTAGGGGTGGGGGGAGATTGGCCCTTAGGGGCCCTTAGGGTTTCCAAAAAGGGGCATGCCGTTCCAGGCAGGCCACTTCGAGTGGGAGGGCCCTCCCTGAGATCTATGTTTCAGGCACCTCCGTGACAGAGGGTGTTTTGGTAGCCAGCCGCCGTTGTCTTTAAGCGTTGAATTTAGGGTTTAGGGTTTAGGGTTTAGGGTTCGGGTTTTGGGTTTAGGGTTTAGGGTTTAGGGTTTAGGGTTTAGGGTTTAGGGTTTAGGGTTTAGGGTTTAGGGTTTAGGGTTTAGGGTTTAGGGTTTCGGGTTTCGGGTTTAGGGTTTAGGGTTTAGGGTTTAGGGTTTAGGGTTTAGGGTTTAGGGTTTAGGCTCTAAACTCTCTACACCCATCCTCGCTTGACTCGAAGGCATGGAGGCACCTCTTTGCGGCAAAGCACCTCCTAAACTCGAAGCTAGGGGTTTAGGGTTGAAGGGTTTAGGGTTCAAGGGTTTAGGGGTTTAGAGTTTTGGGGTTTAGAGTTTTGGGGTTTAGGGTTTAGGGTTTAGGGGTTAGGGGTTTAGGTTTTAGGGGTTACGGGTTCCGGGGTTCCGGGGTTTAGGGGTTCCGGGGTTTAGGGGTTTAGGGCTGTAGAACCTTAATCTTCACCCTGAACCTTATGCCCTGATCCAAAGCTCCGCCCAAGACAAGCATAATGTCCTCCTGGAGTCTAGGATTCAGGCTTTAGGGTAGATACATCCTTTATTTCAGATGCACTACATGTAGGCAATACAGGAGCGTAACGAACGACCAACATTCTCCCCGTACATTCCTTGTACAGCGATAATATACACCCCCCCCCCCCCTGCCCCCGCAAGTATTTTCCTTCCGAAATAAAGGGGCCACTGGACCTCCCCCTCAACCCTACGACCCTAATCCCCTAACCCATTACAGACTCCCCTAAACCCTAAACCCTAAACCCCAAACCCTAAACCCTATAAGCCCTAAAACCCTACGCAGCCCTCGCGCCCCCCAGAAGCGTTCCGCGGAGGCATCGGCCATGCCGTCACAGGCCCGTCGCCGCTTCGTTGTTTTGCTTGGCTGCTTGCAGGTCATAAGGCCTAAGATCGCTTAGGAGTCTTATATGGTTTAGGGTTTAGGGTTTAGGGCTGAGGGTTTGGGGTTTAGGAGTCTTAGGGCTTCCTGTTTCGAAGTTAGGGTTGGGGGGCTTAGGGATCGCAGAGGTCATGAGGTTTGCAAGTCAGTCTTTATTGATTTTTGTGTGTTTGTTTGTGTGTGTGTGTGTTTGTTTCTGAAAGCTCGGGGACGTCGCCTTCCCTTGTCCGCGAAACCCTGCGGACATGGTGGTAGTAGAGTGGTAGAGTAGTGCAGTCCCGCCCACAGGTGCTTTGCCGCCGCCATTGTTCCGAGCTGTGGTTTAGGGTTTAGCCATGCCACTACCACCACTCCTCCTCCTCCTCCAACTCCTGGTGCTGGGTGCGCGGGGTGGCGTGGAGAGCCTGCCACAGCAAGACAAGCAAGATGCCTGGGAGGCAGCGTGGAAGGCACTAGATGGACTCCTGTCTCTAGGCCGCTCCGTGGGGTATAGGTGTTGTAGTTTGCTTCTCCTCTGTAGAAGAATAAGCAGAGTAGGCTCGGAAGGCCATACTGTACCGTTGTCCTTGAGCTCGGCGTCTGAAACTGCCAGGTTTCCCACCAATCAAGCATTCATAGACTTCCGCAACCAGTTCCTTGCGAGCCGTTTTCTTGCCCCCTTGGCCGCACTGCTGCTGACGAAGCTTGCAGAGCAGCTGGCGAATCCTTGCATGGCCATTACACCTGATCCCATTGACATCGAGAAGCCCTGGGACGCGCTGAAAGTGGAAGAGCAACGGCAGATTGAAGCTGAGCCCTACAAGTGGTTGGGAACTCAGTGGGTGAATTCGCTAGAGGGCCAAACGCTGCGCCATGTGGCCGAATCCAAAGACCAGAACCTCGAAAATGATCTCCTTTTTGCATGCTCGTTGGGGGCTGTCGACATCTCACAGGTGGCGAAAATCCCTTGCGACTTGTGGCCGGATGATCCTCCTAGGCTGAGAAGCCTCTAGCTGTAAACGCTTGTCGGCAGCCGGGCCCACGTCCCAAGGCCCTCCCCCCGGCTTCCCGAAAAGCTTTCAAAGCAGGTCCCAACCAAATCCCCAAAAACCCTCAAAATGGGTTCCCAAAATGCTTGAGGCATTCTAGGTCGCAGGCGGGGTCCCTGGGGGGTTTATGTCTCGAATGGGTCCGGGTTTAGGGGTCCCAGATGCTAAGGGGTCCACGAAGGTCCCAAGGAGGGGTGTCAGGGTGTTGGGGTTCCCCCTCTATAGGCGCCGCCGACAGGTGGGTTCATTGTGGCTCTTGGTTTTGTTGGGTTTAGGGTTTTAGAGGTGTGTCTTCGGGCTTGTGCCTTGACTTGTAGTTCTCCAGAACCTCAAAACCTGCAGCCCCTGTAAGAATCACAAATCCCTAAGGCGCCTCATTCTGAGGTTTCCTTAAGGGATTTTGTCCAGAAAAATACCCTCTCCAAACGAACCGGCCCAGCTCCAGAAGGGAATTTTCAATTCTAAGGATTCCGACGCCTATAGAGCTGAGGTTGGGAAAGCGCTACTATGTTGGCTTCCTCGCGCGCCTTCTGACTCCGCCGCTTCGGCTCTTCTTGGTCCACGTGCTGCCCTGCTTGTTGGTCCTCTGGTACGGCTGGACCCAGGCCGCGCAATCGAAGTGGCAGCTCTTCCTGAAGTACGTCTTTGTGGGCAGCTATGGGCTTTACCTCCCCTTCGCTCTGCTCACCTTCTTTGTGACTGGATGGCGCGCGGCCTCCGCGGCAGACAGTCGCTTTGCCGACATCTTCCTGCTACCCTGCCATGTGGACCCAGAACACCCCGGGCCCCGAGTTGACTTTGCTTGGAAGCGGCCCCCGGAATTCCAGGCCAGTCCCTTGCTGCTGGCTAGGCAGTTGGGAGAACTGTTTTTTTCTCAAGTTTCCCTTCTTGGGTTTAACTAAGAGGGCCCTGTTTTTTTCCAGGCTTTCCAGCCTGCTAGGATTTAGGGTTTAAGGGCTTCGGGGTTTTCAGGGGGTTTCCGGGGGTTTCAGGGTTCTGGGGGTTTTGAGGGGGTTTTCAGGGGGTTCAGGGTAGTTTTTCAGAGGGTTCCTAGGGCCAAGCCAGGCTGGGGTGGCTGGCGACGCACGTGATCTGGGGCGGCCTGGGCTTTGAGATGCTCGTTCTCAGGGGAGTCGCTCGGTAGGGTCTTGGGGTACGTTGTCTTTGCCTTTTTTTGGGTTTAGGATTTCGGGTTCAGGCTTTGGGGTTTAGGATTTGGGGCTTAGGGTAGTTTAGGGTTTAGGGTGCAAGGACCCTAGAAGCTCCGCGTCCCCCAACTAGGCATATCTTCCCTTGCTGGTCTTCCCTTCTTGGGTTTAAGAAGATCCCTAAACCCTAAACCCTAAACCCTAAACCCTAAACCCTAAACCCTAAACCCTAAACCCTAAACCCTAAACCCTAAACCCTACTTAGGAATAAGGGGCACCCAAGGTCCATGGCGCACGCGGTATTGATGTACTCCCATTTCTGCGTACATATGCTCCCCTTCTCTACTTTTTGGGCTGGCTCAGTCTCCTAAACTGCCTCCTGTCGTCCACGCCGGGATTCTGGGACTATACCGGGGCCTTCCTGGGCATCACCCCGGTGGCAACCTTCGTCTTCATTGTGTTCATGACATGTTCAGCACTATTGATAGCTTAGGGTTTAGGGTTTAGGGTTTAGGTTTAGGGCTCAGGTTTAGGGCTTAGGGCTTAGGGCTTAGGGTTGAGGGTTTAGGGTTTAGGGTTTAGGGTTTAGGGTTTAGGGTTTAGGGTTTAGGGTTTAGAGATGAGGGTTTTGGGGTTAGGGTGGACTGATGCTCGCACCATGGACGCCTGAGTGAGTCGAAGAAGCTGCTCAAGAACAGAGCAAGCTCAAAAGCCGCTTCCTCTGTCAGAACTGCTGAGCCAGCAAGGAAGCCGCCGATGAGGAAGCTGAAAAGGAAGAAGAAGAAAACGGCCGCGAAGGCTGATGAAGCAAAAGCCCAGCAAACGGTTTAGGGTTTGGGGTTTAGGGTTTAGGGTTTAGGCGTCCTGCTCGCTTTGCGAAGGCCTGGTACCCTCGGAGGGCACCATGCGATGTCGCGGCTGCGGCCGAGCCATGGTGGCAGAAGCTCGACCGTCCAAAAAAATCTCCCTGCTTTGGGGTTTCAGGGATTTGCGATGTAGGGTTTAGGGGTTTAGGGGTTTAGGGGTTTAGAGGTTTAGGGGTTTAGGGGTTTAGGGGTTTAGGGGTTTAGGGGTTTAGGGGTTTAGGGGTTTAGGGGTTTAGGGGTTTAGGGTTTTCGGGTTTCAGGGTGTTAGGGTTTTAGGGGTTGAGGGTTTTAGGGTCAGGTTGGGTTTAGGGGCTTGCAATCACCAGGCAAAGCAGCTCCAGTTTGGAACAGTTTCAGTACCCACCCGCCCCTTTGAATCCTACAGCGCCTGGGATAGCATTTCCATTTTCAAATCCTGAACCCCTAAACCCCTAGGCCCAAAAACCCTAAACCCTAAACCCTAAACCCTAAACCCTAAACCCCTCAACCCCTCAACCCCTAAACCCCTAAACCCGAAAAACACCCCAGTAGCCGCCCCAAAGTCTCGGCAGTGCAGGTAGCGCTCCGAGTGGTGCGCGGCAGATGCTCAGAAGATCTGCTTCGAGGTAGGGCTTGGGTTTCAGGAGGTAGGATTTAGGGTTTAGGGTTTAGGGTTTAGGGTTTAGGGTTTGGGTTTCAACACAAGAGGTGGGGTTTAGGGTTTGGGGTTTTTGGTTGAGGATTTCGGGTTCGGGGGTGGGGGGTTGGGGAGTAGGGTTTAGGGTTTGGGTGTTGGGGTTTAAGGTGTGGTTTATGTGTTTAGGGCTTAGGCCCAGGCTCCGTGGAGGATCCGCATTACTTAAGCTGAGAAGGCTTCCTTGGGCAAGGGTAGTGTTTAGTGTTTACGGTTTAGGGTTTAGGGCTTAGGGTTTCTGATTCTCTAGGCTTAAACTCGACTCGACTTTGAGCTGTACGTCGGTTACGTTCAGGGGACCAGTACAACCATCAGGGCTTTAGGAGAACTACATCCTTTACCCTCACAGCCGCAACGTGAAACCCAACAGTTTTTTTGAAGGTCTATGTCCTAAGCCCTAAACCCTAAATCCCCCAAACCCTAAACCCTCACAGCGAGGCCCTAGCGTGAAGTCATCCACATACGAGCTGACTTTCAACTTGCCGGTTTGGGGTCTTTTGGACTGAGGGTTCAGGGTTTATAGGGTTCAGGGTTTAGGGTTGAGGGTTGAGGGTTGAGGGTTGTGGGGTTTAGGGCTTGGGGACCCTGGTATGAAGGATCCCGTAACACAGTGCATTCTGCTGGGCGTTGGGGGATTGCAGGTGGGGCTTGGGGACTTGGGAGGGATCGGGGCTTCTATTCCGATCATGGTGCCTTTCCTTAGGGGCTCGACTGTAGGACTTCATCACCTTGCGGCCCATCCACTTGCAGCCCCCACATGCTCCGCGTCTGGAAGGTGTCCGGGGTGGAGCTGATCGCAGTAGCCGAGGAGACCTGTAGCACCCTGAAGACAGTGGGCAACCTGAAGGAGTTCTTGAAGGCATCTTGTGGCATCCCCGTCTGCCTTCAGCAGGTCGTGAAGGACGGCTGCAGGTTACATGATGCTGCATGGCTGGTTTTCCCTGGCGATGTGCAACTGGTGCTACTGCCCGTCGCAAGCACACCGAGGGAGTCGAGGCAGGAGGTTGCAGGCGAGCTGTTGCGCGCCTGCAGGCAGGGCAACGTTGAGGCGGTGCGGTTGCTGGTGGGAGCTGGTGCGGACCTGGATGAACGAGGCCGCAGTTGCTTCGATGGTGGCGAGACAGCTCTCGTTCGGGCATCCGCCAGTGGCCATGCTGAGATTGTACGTTTGCTTGTGGATGCTGGTGCCGATAAGGATGTGAAATGCACGTCTGGCGACACGGCGCTCATTCTGGCATCCACCAATGGTCATGTTGAGATTGTGCGTTTGCTTGTGGAAGCTGGCGCGATCAAGCATGAGCGAGGCTTTCGTGACCACACTGCCCTGACTGAAGCAGCTGACGCAGGCCACGTGGAGGTCGTGCAAGTACTGTTGGGAGCTGGCGCCATTATGGGTTGGCGAAATCTCTCGGGCGAAGGAGCTCTCGAGCGCTATTTGGCAAGCTGTCGTCATCGCATCGATGATTACGATGCTGCCCTCATTCGGGCATCCGCCAATGGCCATGTTGAGATTGCGCATTTGCTGGTGGAAGCTGGTGCTAACAGACATCTGCAAACATCTGATCTGAGCAGTTTGGGGTCACAACACTCAACCCCGAAGCCCTAACCTGGTGTTTATCTTGTCAGAGTCGATATACGGGTATTTCCCAAAACTTGGGGCACACCTAACCTTTCCATATGCATATATTTATCTCTCCCAAACATACTGCCGTCCGCATTCTAGGAAGTCTAAGCCTAACCCTGAACATGGGCTGGCAGCACTGTGAGTTCTGTGGCCCCATGATCGGCATGCGAGAAGAAAACCTTCTTCAGATCACTGGATGAGCATCGACGCCGATGAGAACAGACAGTGACATGAAAGAATGCGAGACCGTGGGTGTCTGGCCCTAAACCCTAAACCCTAAACCCTAAACCCTAAACCCTAAACCCTAAACCCTAAACCCTAAACCCCCTTCAAGGGACCGCGTCTTTTGCAAGTCTTTGCCCCCGGGCCGGGGATCCCAAAGTGAGTCAGAGTCCTCGGAGCCACGCCCAGCTTGGGAAAACAGACATCTCTGTTCGGAATTACCAGGGGGGGGGCCTTCTAGCAAGGGAGTAGAGCAGTTGAAAGGGAGCTCCGAATGTTTAGGGTTCAGGGTTTAGGGTTTAGGGTTTAGGGTTTAGGGTTTAGGGTTTAGGGTTTAGGGTTTAGGGTTTAGGGGGCAATGCATGAAGGTTGGCAGTCTCTCGCCAGGTTTGTGAGGTGGTCTGAAGCGGCAAGTCTACAAGGAAGAATCCCCACTGTTCCCCAAACCCGGACACCCCTAAACCCCCCTAAACCCCCCTAAACCCCTAAACCCCTGAACCCTGAAACTGCCCCCGGTAAACCCACAGCCTACTTCTGCAGATAAGATGGGCCCTCAGACCCTTCCCGAACTCGCCATCAGGCCCATGTTGGGTGCAGCATCCTCGGGCTCCGAAGCCTTTGCAGCGAAAAGGGGGCCTCCTTGAGGAAAAAGCGACAAGTCAGGGACTCTGAAGCTGGTTTTTCGGGGCGGGTTTACTGCTGCGCCTGGTTTAGGGTTTATAGGGTTTATAGGGTGTATAGGTTTTATAGGGTTTAGGGTTTAGGGTTTAGGGTTTAGGGTTTAGGGTTTAGGGTTTAGGGTTTAGGGTTTAGGGTTTAGGGTTTAGCGTCGGCCTCCCTGAGCATCAATCTTCCCCTGTAATCCGAAAATTGCCATCCATGCTCGCAAGCCCATGCTTGCGCTACCGTAGTACACGTGCTTTGCACGTCTGGATGAACTGTCTTCCTTGCCTAGATCTTGCTAGGGGTGGATCGGTTTCTGGGCTCAGTGCAAGTTTGCATCGAGCTCCTGCAGGCAGCGGCATCCTCAAAAGCCTACCCTTCACCCCCTAAACCCCTACACCACCTGAACCCTAAACTGCAATTTCCTGAACGAACCCCCCTGAAGCCTCAATTCGGAACATGGTTCAGAGGGGTCCCCTAAACCCTAAACCCTAAACCCTAAACCCCGGCACACAAATCTTTCTGCGGCGTTTCGGGCTCAGGATGGGTGCCCCCATGTCATGCTCTCCACAACATATCTAGACCCGGGCCGGCTTTTCGGGCTGCTTTTGCCTTCTGGTTTAGGGTTTAGGGTCTAGGGCTTAGGGTTTATGGTTTAGGGCTTCTCTACTCGGAGTTTCTTTGCCAGCTTGTCCAAGAACCTGCAGCCCCCTAGACCCCCTCATCCCATGAACCCCTCACCCCCGAATGCCCGGAAGAGACCCATGGGGTGGTGGACTTCATGTCCCTTTGTGAGGGATCGGGGTTTGGGGTTGAGGGTTTAGGGTTTAGGGTTTACGAGGCTTTGTACTCGTCTGTCTAGACAATCTCCCCTGCGTGCACGTGCCAGCGCCACTGGAGGCCAGTTCTTTCGTGGAGCTTTGGAAAGCTAAGGGCGGAGATTCAGGGTTTAGGGTTTAGGGTTTAGGGTTTAGGGTTTAGGGTTTAGGGTTTAGGGTTTAGGGTTTAGGGCTCCAGACTCTCCCTAAACCCATCCTCGCTCACTCGAAGGCATGGAGGGGCCTCCTTGCACCAAAGCACCCCCTGAACTCGAAGCTTGGGGTTTAGGCTGTACGGTTTTGGGGTCTGTAGGTACTATGCTTGGGGTTTAGGGTCGAGGGTTTAGGGTTTAGGGTTTAGGGTTTAGGGTTTAGGGTTTAGGCTGTAGGGTTTTGGGGGTCTGTTGGGGTCGGGTATACGGGAATATAAACGGGGAGAATGATCAGGGCTCCTGTACACCCCTTTTGAGGATCTACTGTTCTTGTTGGGAGCTTTGGATTGAGGGCATAAGGTTCAGGGTTTGGAGGTCCCACAACCTTATAGAACCCTAAACCCCCTACATTCCGCCGGAAGTGTTCCGCAGAGGCAGCTGCCATGCCGTCACAGGCCGCGGTTTAGGGTTTAGG